TTTTAGGTTACACATGTTCTGAACACAGATTGTGTATGTAGGGGCTTTAATTAGGTGTATGTAGGGTAATTATTTAACCATCTGTTGGACGGTTGCCAATCAGAATTAATTAACTATTTCCGAGGATTGAGTTGCGCTTGGAATTAGTGCAGAGATTTAACTATCGGGATCAGAGGGACAGGCCTTTAACTATTTTTGCTTGAATGCCATTGATTTTCTGGCAAAGCATTGGAGAGAATTTTATCAAAGCCAAGGAATTTTCCTACGTTTTTTGTACAAAAAAAATAGTTGAATGGATGGATATCAACAAGTGTGCTTAAAAAGTGCTTTGCTTGAGGGAGTAATTCGATGCAGTGATCCGGTTGCTAATATAATTACCAGGTAGATGAGGCATAGCTACCGCATATATATATAATCGTCTTTAGCATTCCTAATCATTTGTTAGTCATGTTTTCCAGTCCCACTCCTTCTACCTTGGATATCCGGATCCAATGCAGCAGCAGTTCGTTAACGAGCTTTTGATACACTTTTTCCACACACACACTGACCCCTGACTTGATTTCAGTTTGATATGGGTGCGGGAAAGTGCTGACTAAAGGCCAAGGCAAGGGCTCCAATAAAGGCGTAAATTAATTAACAATATCGTATTTCCGAGCGCCGCAAACCGCTCATAACAAGTCAAAATCCAGAGTTTTCCCACACCAAGACCCCTTTCCGCAGAAAAAAAAAAAAAAAAGGAAAGAAACGCCCAGCTTTCCGGGAGGAAAATATATATCCCCGGCATATGCGAGCTGCCTTATGTTTATTTGCATAAGTAGCTCAACTCGCTGCTGCTGAAGGAAAATGTTGGGGGCGGGAAAAGTGGAGTGGCGCCGCTTTTCCACATACATATGCGTGTACAAATTACGGCCAAAAAGAATGGTCTGACAGATAGCCTGGCGAACTGAGAAGTGAAAGGGCAAAGGGCCGATTCAACTAGTTGAATGATGTCCTTAATAATGAAGGAGCAAACCAGAACCTTAAATAAACATGACCGCTGCTCCACAAATCGCTCCTCGAGTCCATCTCCCATCTCGCATCTCGCATTACGGATGGACTCTAAGCGGAAATATTTGTTTTCAGACAGTTTTATCTTTCGGGTCAAATCATATGTCATCTTTTGCGTATTTATTTTGCTGGCAATAAATTTTGCAACAGCAACAGCCTCGAGGGGGCGAAACGAATACATACTAGAGATATTTTGGGTTTTCGGTTCAGACAGGTGGCTGTGGTGGTTATGGGCATAGAGATGGAGATATATAGGATGTGCGTGTGTTGGGGTTGTCCGGGTCACATTATTAAGAAACTTTCCAGCCCGTTGTCGTCTCGCCTTGTCGGCAGTGAAAATTGCGGTTTATGTTAATCACGGGACAGTCGAAAAAACCCAGCACCGAAAAATTGACAAATTGCTCTGAATGCGAATATATATATATATAGGTTTTTGGTAAGTCGTCGTTCTTGAGGATTGATTTATGTGTGGGCGTGTGTGAGTTGGTGTTTTTGGGTGCGTGGGCGTTTTCTGGGGCTGAGGTTGGGGCGGTTCTGTCCCTGGGCTTTTCCACTGTCCTGGTTGCAGACAATTAGGCAGACGGTTTGTCAATCCATCCGATCCGCTTTCCCTTTCTCCTATTACCGCCTTTATTCGAATTATAGCACGTAGCAACGTGTTACAACCTAATTAAAATTAAAAAGGACTTCGAGTCCTTGACACGACCACCCAGCGGGTGGGTATGCGAGGCGCAGGGGCATGGCATTCACAAGAGCCAGCGATACGTCACACAAAGTCAAAATTCGTGGCAGCCCTCTAGCCAAACGACACTCAGACATGGACGTATCCATGGCACACTTAAAAAAAAGGATCTTTAAGTTTTGTTTTATTCTTAAAAACGAATTTTTCTTACTTACTTAGATGGATAACTTTATGGTATAGAAGGAATACGAAATTGGTGAGACATCAAAAGCATTCCGTAAAAACAATTTGGTTTTAATAATCAGGAAAAAAGGTCCTGTAGTTACTGCTTATGTAAATTTCATAGATTTACATATAACCTATATATTTCTCTCAGTGCATTATGGTACACCTATGACCAGATGAGGGCATCTCTAATGCGCACACAAAACGTGCTAATGCTAATGGCAAGTTCGGGGGGTTAGGGGGATTCGCAACGCCGTTTGGGATGGTGGTTGAGGGGTCAGAGGTCAGGGGTATTTCCCTACCCGCACACACTGCTGCTGTTGCCGCCACCGTTGTCTTGATGTCAAATGTAAGTGGCACTGGAAGCCAAGGCTGCTGGCGGTTGACGCTCGGCGGTTGACGGATGACGGTGGGCTTCGAGCAGAGTGCGCCTGCATCTCTATCTGCATCAGCATCTGCATCCGAATCGGCATCGCTGAATATGCACTTTGGAAAAATTGTTAATTTATTTAAATGGTTTGTAATATATATGTGGGGGATCTGATTATATTTTAAGTGTCTACCTAAAAACCCAAAGATAAAAATCTGAGAAACATAAGTTAATAAATCTTGATCAGAAATTGTTATAAAAAGAGAGTCGCTTACTATTGGACTATTAATGTAGTTATAATTTCGATTTCAAGACACCTTCTATTCAATATTTTACAGATAAAGGTTTTAAAATATAAGAGTAACCTAGAATTTTAGACTTCAAGCTCCAAGTGTACTCTATACGAGCAGAGGAAGGAGCTTTACCTCAGGGCGGCAGGGCATAACTACAGCTGTAGAATAGATTGTGTGTACAAATTGAGAGGATATATATTTTTTCTCATTTCTGCAAACTGAATCGCTGTTTGTCGGATGCTCACTGATATTGTAGTTAGGATGGCAGCGTTCCTGCCTCAGCCAGGACACCCTTCGCCACTCCCGCGATTACAATCAATATAAATCACATTTACCCAGAGCGAAAATGCTTTCTACTTCAGTGAAGAAGCCAAAAATTCATACGCAACAGGGGAATTTGCTACTTTTTTACGATATGCGTATATTCGTATGTGTCTGCTGTTCTGTGTGTGTGTGTAAATGTTTATATATTGTACAACAGCGCAGACACAGACACAGACACCGAAAAGCGAGGGATATATTTACAGATGGCGCCGGCTCCTTTGCTCCTACTATTTCCACTTTCGACTCACCACGTCTATTTTTTTCCATTTGCCCAGGATACCAAAAAAAAAAATATACAAAAAAGCCAACAGGCAGGCAAATATGCAACAAATTCTCATTCAAAACACGCACGCAAATTTCTCCAATTCGCTTCCAAAAAAAAAAACAGAAAGGGAATAGCTGGAAAAGTCATGGAGCGGGGGGTCGGAAAACCTGGATCTGGCGATGCGAAACCGATGCAAAGTGTAATAGAATGAGGATCGAAAACGTACAACAAAGGATGGCATAATAATAAAAAATTTAAGATGTGTAAAAAACATAAAAAGAAAATTCATTTGCGCCAAATTTGTGGATTTCACCTTAATCTTTTCATGGCCCTGGCTTTTTCTCCCCCTCAGCCAAACAGCCAGCAAACAAAGTGTGCGAAAATCGATGTACCTATTGAGTGGGTTACCACTTTTGGCCCATTTCCCGGCTACGGTTATGGCCGGGAAAGGGTTATAGGGCTATACGCCCTCGTCCCTTTTTTATTGGTTTTGTGGCCAGGAGAAAAGTGGGTGGGGCTTTTAGTACTCCTAGAGATCCCAGCGGTAGCCATAAGAGCTATTTAAGTTGACTTGTCCTGCTCTCGAGTTTTACAATCGCTTATTCCGAATTACGTGCTTCACATATATATATATATATTCCGTGGCCTATTTGATGATGTATGCGCCGTAATAAGGAAGCTGTACGTACATACATATACGAGTATATGGCAGATACGAAAAGAATCTTGACTTCACACTAGATATGGAAATGGACGACGGTCCGAGGTTGACAGTAGTGCCCACTACCTACTTGGCCAGTCGCTTCAATTGAATTAATTGAAATTCTTCACTCAACTAAGTGAGCACACAGAAGCGAATCTGTGTGTTCGTGAGAACTTGTAAATACGACCAGCAATCACAAGTTTAGTTCCTTCATCCAAGACTTAATTTTTAGGGCAGCTTAACAGTGGGGGACATCTTAATAGGTATTTAAATGTTTTTTTTAGGCTTGGCCATTTGAATATCTGAATGTATGATATACTAGACCTTAAATAGAAAAATTTTAAAAATAATAATTAAAGTTTATTGTTCATTTTCAGTAAACTTATATCATACTTAAACTTAACAATGACATATCAAATATCAAATACTTTCCTTGAGTCATAAACTTAATTGTAATTTAGACATCAAGGCTATAAAAGGCTTAATAATTGATGCACTAGATTGCATTTGAAAAGTTTCGATGACTAATTGGAATTAATTACTGGCATTTGACCTAAGAAGATCATGATAGGTTTATGGATGTTTAGAAATGAAAAATGTTTTCAAACGGAAAACAAAATATTGTAGTTTATTGTGACATAATTGAGAGACATAATGTCTCTAAATGCCGAATTAAGAAATAAATACATTCACTATGCCATCATCAATCTAGCATAATCCTCCAGTAACTAACTAAGTGTAAAACCCTTAACTTACCATTTTAAAATATGTCCAAAGAATAAGATATATATCAAAAGATTTAACAGACCATCCCCAAAATCTAAAGTGTGAGAATATAAGAGTCTCAGCAATTTATTTGCCACCTCCTAGGGGCACCCACATCATCCATCGTGCATCATCATCTTAAGCGCTAAAAGTGCATAATGCCAGATTCTGAAGTGGACAAAAATTGAATCTCCCCTCAGCATATGGATATAATCCCGGCAAGCGTATTAGGATTTTGGTCAGGAATGAGGAAAATGGGAAATGAGAAAAGGTTTAGCGGGTGCAAAGAGACAGGAGGGAGAGACCAGCCTAATCTATTATGCGAGTGGACAATCTGTTTGTGTGAAAATGCCGTCGGCGATGGTGATTTAAGATCTCAGATGGAAAGCAAGCAGAACTGTAACGAGCTGAAGAGAGAGTGTATGTACGAGTATGTATGAATGTCCGATTAAATAATCTCACATGAATAAGAGGCGGCTATTTCGTGGCGAGTGTTCATATGCTTCTATTTCAATTTCAGTTTCAATTCGACTATATGCGGGATAGTTCAGATGACCGGCTTAGTCAGTAATCAACTGCAGTTCGGGGTGGAAAGTGCCGAGTGGAAAGAGTGGAAAGTGGGCGGGGAAAATCGCTCTTGTTGTTGCGGAATTGACTCGCACCAATACACCTAAATATGCACACTGACTACCCATATATGAGGGCGATCTCTCGCACATACACGCATCTTTACACACACACTGGGAGAGTAATGAATTGATGGTTATTTTCAAAAATCCAACGACTGTCCGCGCGATCACTGCACAAATCAGTTGTGGAATCGCCCTCGAGCGGCAATGTTCTCCGCGTTCTCAAAACTCGGACCTTTAGATCTCAGATCTCTTGGTTTCCCAAAAGCCACTGTGTAATCTTTATATCTTTGAAACAATGTATTAAATCGAGAAATTATGTTAAAAACGGTGCTTCACACAATCTTGCTCTGGCTGTTTGAGTTGCTCATTAATTTTTACAAAATTCTATAAGTATAAACGAAAATATATATGTTTTCGAGATCGACGGCTACTGGTCAATTCTCCGATCGGGGTTAAGACCCTACCCAAGGCGCGATAATCGCAATCAACGTTGCTCGTCGCCGAGCGGCAACAACAACAGCAGCAACATAGCAACAGCAACAGCAACAGCACAACAGCAACTTCTACGGCATCAACATCGGCGATGAGTCTTCTCAGCGTGCGGATCTCTATCTCACACCCACTCTCTTCTTTTGATTCTCCGGAATGCAAACGTATGTATGTGATAAATGTAATTTCTCTACATAATTGGCTTTATCTCAACTATACTAAATTCAGTTTTTTTATAATTTTACGAAATTTAAAAAGCCAAAACGCCGCTTAAACTTAAATTTACAAATTTAAAATAAAAGGTAAAAAGTTATATTTCATTAAAAAGAATCATAAATATGCAAATTATTTAAATTTTAAAAAAAAAAATTCCTGATGTTTTGCAGGTTTTAATCTGTTTTTCAAGATATATAAAACATCCTTAATAATTTCAAAAATATATAACCTTTTTAAAAGATTTTTTTAATGAGTTTTTAAAACATTAAAAGTATGTTTTAACTTTTCTAAATTGATTCATTGAATTTCATAAATATATGATTAATAAATTTATATGGAAATTCTATTAAAAAAAATTTAATATAGTATAATCTCATTCCACAATTTTTTGCTTTTAATAATTTTAAACCGAAGTTCCCCCCTAAAATCTGAGATCACGCCCTCAAAGATGAAAATCTAATAAACCAAATCAAAATTGATGGCGATGACAAAAGCCATAGTTAATGGCAATCAGGAAGTGCAACAGATTTTCAACGACGGCAATTGTTGCTGTTGCTGTTGCTGCTGCTAAACTGGACTCACTTAACTAAGTGTTATTGTACTCTGATTAATCTATGTATATTCTAATTTAGCTGATGAATGCATTCAGCCAGCTATTTATTGTACACTGTTTTGTGCATCTTGCGCTGACAAATTGTTGAATGCGAATCGGAGAGTCCTCTTCTGGCTTTTTTGACAAGTACTTGACGCTTCTGCCCCGGCAGCAACAGCAATCATAATCGGACGATGGGGCAACAATAAGACTGTGTAGCAGAAACACATTGTACGTAGTTATATTCGTTTTATTCGTTTAAATTCAATTGACTTTGAATGCTCCAGCAATGAAGGCAGCAAAATGTATATATATATATATATACTTACATCGGCGATGTTGTCGTCGTCGTCTGTCATGGAGCAATTTTGAACGCTGCCGGCGAATACGGGCAACGGGCAACGGGCAACGGGCATCGGGCAACGGAAAACGAATGAGGGTCAATTAAGCCAATTTAAATTTAATAAACTTATGTATTATGTGCAAGAGGTTACTAGCCGTACACGACTTGCAATGATACACATCTACATTTTGGATTCCGAATGGGCAATCGAGGGAGGAAAATTGAACGAAATATTTAAAATTTATTTGGGGGGAGGAAAAACATTTCAAAGAGACAGCTGCCACAGAAGGTTAAGTATCTCGTACAGATATTAATAACTCAAAAACCAAACGATGAAGTGCATAGTTCAGAATACATTAACCTTGTGGAGCGGATGAGAGGCATCTTCAAGCTGTCAATTGTGACAGAGATCCAGAGGAACTACTTTCACACTAATTGATTTATTATTGCAGAACATGCTGGAGCCATGGAATCAGGAGGGATTAAGTATCAAGGTTCATAGATCAAAGGTGAGTATTGGATATATATAATCGTAGATATATATATATAGTTATATCGTGTCTACTTACCAAGTTCGCTTTCCTAAGTACTAGTGCCGCAGGAGTTAGGTTCGTGTCCGCAATACCTCCTGCTGCCCAAGTGCTTATTAAAGCGGCGAGTTGTGCAACAAAGAAATTGAAAGACCCACTAGTATTTCGATTCCATTTAGTTATAATTTAATTGTATTTAATATTTCTCCTAATAGTTACAAAAACTAGGCTTGACAAATTATACTAATCTTTGCGTTTGCTTTTCGTATCGCGCCGAGTATCGCCTGCCCCCGCTTACATTTTCAGATTAAATGGCAGCAATTCTCTAAGATACATTTTTTTTTGTTTTTAATCAGATATATATACTATTCTCAAGCTGTAAGGTGTCCGCTCCAGGGAAGAAACGCCGCTGTTGCCGGTGACTTGAATTCAGAATTTCGAATTTAGAATATTCAAATGTTGAATGTCGAGCGAGGCTCTGGAAGGGACACACTCCCTCCGGATCGCTCCGAAGATTTTGTACATATGTTGCAGCTTAGCAAATGTTCTATAAATGCTTAATTTTACTCCTAGATGGGGGCAACACAACGTACATCGAAGCGAACGGCCATTTCGTCCTCACAATAAATTATGAACTATATACAGTTGTCGGTTCGGAGCGGTTAGACAATTTCAAATTACAGGGAGGAATCTCGGAGAACCACACGGAGTGTTGGAGTACAGGAGTACAGGAGTACAGGAATACCGGAGTACACCGGACTGCTGTATAATCATGTATGTACAATTTTGCTTAGACCGCTAATTAGGACTACTTAGGCTCTAGTTAAATACACGTATGTGGTAGCTACACTTAAACACTCGAGTCAATCGAAACGAAAATCAATAGGTAATACTTTCATAGAGGATATGGACATGATATTCTCACAAATGCGACTCCCGCAGTATTCTGCCGGGAACTCTGGAAGAGTGCAGGTCCTGTTCAGATTAAATGGATATATTTATACGTTTATTGGTATACTAAATATGGCGTAAATTAGTTGCATTATCGGCCTGCTCAGTTTGCTATTTTTGTTTGTTTGTTTAATTTGCTTGTTTTTTTGCGCACAACAATGACCTCGGGTTAGCTTAGCGAGCATTAGGATGTCGGCGATATGTTAAGTTGACAGCGTTTGTTTTTCGGAATTGGGAAAAGGATATAGAGGTTATAAGGGATATTGGATACTGGATAAAGGATATGGTTTGGATATGGGTGAAACGTTAAACGATATGTTCTTAAGAAGTAGTTTCGTTCGTTCTTCATTCAACAAGAATATATATATATATATACTCCTTTTTAAGACTTAATTACAACAACAGATGACAACGATTATTTACAAAACGAGTGTATTGCAGTTACACTTTTGGCATTGCATTAAGTACACAAGATGCTTACGAGCTAGGAGAAGTCTTTCCTCAAACCATGCGAATAAATACGTCTAGCTGCTAGGATATTATTCGATACGATGCGGTACGATACTCATGTATTAATACATTTTCCACTCTATATCATTTGGTTTATCTTTCGATTTGTTTTGTTTTTTTTTTTTTTTTTTTGTACACTCAGAAGTAAGTATGCGTGTGAGAGCTTTATATACAACTTTCCTGTATGCGATTCGAGGTGGTGACGATCTCTGGACCGGTGCGAAATCTGTATTCGCTGAGCGACGACGTCACCGACGGATTGTTCGGACTCAGCAAACTGACCTCCATGGGCTGTGGCGTCAGGTGGTACGAGGACGAGGGCGTCGAGGTGCTCACATTGTAGTTCAGCGAACCCAACGGCGGACTGCACGTGGTGATGCCCTTTTTGTTCAGTGTGGCATAGCTCTGTGAAGTGTGTGTGTGGTTTTTGTTTTGGGGAAGAAGAAAGCGGGGAAGAGAGGCCCGATATGAACACCATGAAGTAAGGCATGATATAACCAACACCAAAAGCTTTAAGACTAAGCTGGCAAAATATCGAAATGCAAGGTTATCGATGGCTTCGATAGGCATAATATAAAAAAAAATGATATTTAAAATTTAACTGAAATAGTTTATATCTGCGTAACAAATTTTTTACATATTTTCCAGTTTTTTTTATTTATTAAAAATAACAAAAATCGATTTTTTCGATAACCCTGGCGAAACTTTGCCACCTCTAACACTACGGATTTAAATACTCACGATCTGCTTGCTGGGCCGGAAGGTGTAGTGGAGAACCTCGTTCCCAGAGCTGCTCATCAGTCCGATGCTGGACAGCCCTTCCGCTGCTCCCAGTCCCCCATCGCTGGTGCCTTTCGTGAGCTCCGTTTCCCGAAGGTAATCGCGCTGCATCAGGCGATTCGAGGGGCTGGCAAAGCCAGGCGGGGAAACCAGGCTCTTCAGCGGACGTTTTTCTGCAAATGCATTAATTAAGGAAACTAAATGAATGAAAGAAGGTTAGCTGGTATTTAAGTGCTGGTGCAACAAACTACGATTTCAACACAGCACAAAAATTAAGGACTTTAAGCAAGATTTCTTATTTTCATATGTTTCAGGATACTAAAAGTGGCCAGTACAAGCATAAGCAGGATGCTTTCAAGCTGAGATACTTTTTGAAGCTAAGTTTATTAACGAACTTACTATAAGTAGATCGTTATTATTTATTAAATATTTAATAATTACATTTAACAATTTCTTGAAACTCTAGATTAGCTTTACTTTCCCTAAAAGTTTCACCAAACACCCATCGATACTCACCATACTGATTTGGTATAACATCGGGATCGGTGTCGTCTATGTCGGCCTGATCGGCCATCGGACTGTGTCGGGTGCGGGCATTTGAGCGTAGTGTATCGCCAGGCATGGCCACCAGGCCAATGGGCGAACTGCCCTTCATCCCACCATCTAGACCCACGCCCCCACCGCCAACACCCACATCGCCGAGCGCGGCACAATCGACGGCGTTGCGGCCATCGCAATTGAGAGGCAGGAGGCTGTGGTGCGGCTGGTGGTTGCCGGATCCGTCCGTCTGAACGCCCGGATGCAGCGGGTCCAGCTGGCAGTCCGCCGGAATCGTCAGCTGCGTGTGCTTGGCCACCTTCAGATTGCTGTCGCTGCGCCTGCAATTTAAATGAGGCCATTAGGGTAAAGCCGCAGCCATTAGCCATTAGCCGTTAGCTGTCCTTACCGATTGGAGAACCTCCGGTAGATGGCCGCCAGCATGATGCAGAAGATGGCGAACAGCAGGCCGCAGAAAAGGGTCAGCCCGGCCAGGAATGGTGAAAGGGGCATCGAGAGGCCGGTCGAGGCACCTGCGAAGAGGCCGCAATTAAATTATTGCCACATAATTCCCAATTACTGCGGTTCTCGCCGCCCACTGCCCACCGACCCAACTTACCTGTGAACTTGGCCACGCCCTTGAAGTTGATGTCGTCGATTATGGTGGGCTCCGAACGACCTTTGGCATTAACGGCGAATATCACCATGCGATAGGTGGCCGCTTGGTCTAAATTGTCTATCACAAAGGTCACTGGCGTGTGCTAAATAATTTAGAAAAGAAGAAAAGAATAAACAAAACAGAATTATGAATAAATTTAGGCAGAACTTTTAAAATGTATAGAAGCTATTAAGAAGTTCCCAGAATTTTGTTTCAATTTAACTTGTTATCAACGAAAGAAACCCAACCTCAAGGTTCAAGGAGAAAATAAATGAAAGAGACTTAAAGTGATTTTTAATTTTTAATGTTTTAACTTTATGAGGGCTAGAATAGAAATGAACACAGAAGCCAGAAACTTAAAAGGGGTAACTCCCAAAAAATTTCTTAATACAAATGCACCATGAAAATTTCCCGTTGATGATACTAATTCATTGCGTGCTTTTAGGCGCATTAGCTTTTAATCCCGCCGACATTATTTATTTTGAATAATTTATGCATCCAATTAATATGGAGTTACAAATTATAATATTTCGAGGAATTAAAAAATGTAAATAAAGCGCCCTAAAGTATGCGACACCGTCCTACGCTTATCTCCACTTTTACTGAACACTTCAAGGCAATTAATTATTTTAAACCCCCATTGATTAGAGGAAGATCCCCGATAAAGTGGTTTAATGGTGGTTTGCTGGGTAATTAAGATTCCCGTGGTTATTAACCGCAATCCTAAAGCTTACCGAAACCGTGATATTCCTGGCCAGACGCAGCGTATTCAACTCGACCAGTTCCAGCATGAAGCCCTGTGGAAGACCTCCATCGAATCCCTCCAGGCAGTCGACTTGCAGTGAGTCCACCGACTGATTGGTCACCGAACAGTTTTGTAAGGGAAACGGCCGACCTGCGGATAGAGTTACGTTCACCCCGATTAACTGGGATAATGCTGATGATGATGACGGCAATGATGATGATGGGTACTTACCGGCTGCCACAATCTGAAACACGCAGGGACTCTTCTGCGTGCCAATGGAGTTCTTCGCCCAGCAGGATATTGTTCCGTAGTCTAGGTCCGTGCTCGGTGTGTAGTTTAATCGCGACATGCCGGTCTTAACAGGGGTATACAGATACACAAGATAGTTAGTTAGTAATTCCAAAGTGGCTGGCTGTCCTTAGACAGAAATCCTACCTCGCTGGAGTGCAGGCGAGCTGGTAATTCCGTCTGTTCGCCGGATGAATTGAAGGTCCAGTGAAAGGAGTCCGCCGGCGGCGAAGAGTCCACCTCACATTTCAGGGGCAGGGTCTCATGCTTGAGGGCCCCCAACAGCTCCTCATGGTCCGTGGCACAAATCGGGGCATCTATCGAAGCCAAATGAGTAATTAGAACGCTTATTGAAATATTTAACGCCCTATCAAGTCGCTTGAACGAGGCGATTGCCGATATGCAGGCATTCGCTTTAACAATGCACTCAGAACAATGGGGTCAATGGATAGTAGAATGAAAAATAATAAAGTAATAATATTAACTAAAGTGTAATGGAACTTTTAGTATAATTTCAAGGTACACTTGATTATTACATTTTAATGGTTTAAGCTGATTTAAAAACTAGAATGACTCTTAATAGTTCCCAAACTTCCTAATTCATAAACCCCTTTTTCATCCCAGTGATAGACCTTAAACGTCCTGAATTAATACCGAATTTCGAATTTGGCTGGCGCATTTCGGGCATGACGATGCCTAAGCCAGAGAGGGAGGGTGGTAAGGCGGAATCCGACCCGGTCTTCTGGTCATTTGGAATATCATTTCATGCCAGAGTCAGAGAATTCCGAGGAGGAGGCAGGACAAGTGCCAAGGCAATGCATTCATTGCGCCATAATCTTGGTCATTAACGTGAGTCGCAAGGGCTGCGGGTCGGAGGATGAAGAAGATTTGGGTATGTGCAGGGGACTTGGGCCGACACACCTACTCGGCCTTTGTTCTTGGCTTTCGGCCAGAATATATAACACTGAGCCCCGTACTCTAAATACATTAAGAGCCATTCAAACTCAAGGATTAAATTGGAAATTACAGAGACGTTAGTTCAAAGCCAAAACTTGGCTGACTTCGATGGCGGCTATGGGGCTTTTCGGAGATGGAGATGGTTGGGATTTGGCTGCGATTTACTTACAGCGTATGCGCAATGTGACCGGATTACTGGGTCCCTTGCCCTCCGAGTTGACAGCCAGGCAGGTGTAGTCGCCGGCTGAGGCACGTGAGACGCTCTGTAGGACAAGCGACTGATCCGACAGGATGACGCCCGCGGATATGTTGTGCTGCAATTCCTTGCCCTGCACAAGGAGAAAAAAAACACATGAATTAGTTATTAATTTCGTAAAAATCATAAATAACAGTTGTTATACAGGGCGTATGAGAGATATTGGAATCTAACTTTTAGCAAGTCAATAAAGGGTTATTAAAGTTTTAATTACAAAAATTAAGAGATTGCATTTTATATACCACAACATTTATAGTTTTAAAGGGGATTATGTAATCTTCTTGCGCTTTTTTACAAAATTTTTAAATTTTAAAAAGATTTTACATATTTTAAGTTGTCTTTTTAAGCACTTAAATTCATTTCTTTTTCGTTTAATATTTTCTCGCAGTGCCTCAAATATTTGGCACCCATTATTCAGGGACATGCTTACATTATGAAACCAGGACATCTTGTAAGGCTTCGGGTTCGCCAGGACAATGCACTCGAAGTACGCATCGTCGCCCTCCTTGATGTCATCGGGATTCAGCGAGGAGCCAATCTTGAGCGTGGTGGTCGGCTGGTCTGTGGACACATGGGAGAAAACGATTTTTTTGCAATTAGGCCTTCACCCTCTCACAGTTTTCCAACAGCAGCTTTACTTACAATGGACAATGAGTCGCCATTTGTCCTCGATGGCGCTGCCGTCGATGAATTGATTTTCTGCCCGACATGTTAAATATTTGCCATCGTCCTCGCGTCCGGGCGTAAACGTCAGTATACTTAGAGATTGATTATCGGGTTCATTAAACTAAAAAAGAAACGCAAACAGAGTCCATTAGGAAATGAATAATGAAACGGAAGCGGGTCGAAAGTAACCAAATGGAAAGGAAAGTGAAGGAAATCCAAGGCCAAGGCAATGGCAACGGCAACGGCAAAGGACCGGCGAAAATGGAAAGGAAATTTGTGGCAATTATAAGCGACGCACACGGTACACAATATTAATTTGTGTTTAATTAATGAGTTTGGGACTTTGGCGCATTCATTACGAGTTTGGCTTACGTTCTTGGTGAGCTTCTTCAGCTGCTTGCTGCCCTTCCACCAGGTGATGAGTGCCGGTGGCTTCGATCCCGAGCTCTTGCACTCCACGTCATAGGTCCGATCCGCAGATACGAAACGATCTTTGGTGAGTATGTGCACGGCGATGGGTTTTACTATAGTAAAATTCATAAGTAATTTTCTTTAAGACGATTCTTAAATCTTTAACTTACGATTTACGTCCAGGATAACGACCTTGTTGTTGGGCGGCGTCAGGTTCGTGTTGCTGGCCACACACATTAGCCGCGAATTCAGGTGCTGCCTGCCCACATTTGGGTACGACAGGTGGTTAATGGTCTTGCCATCGGGTCGCTGCTCAAAGGACTCGTCAATCGCCGTGTTGTCCAAGTACCAAGTGACATTGGGTCGCGGGCGGCCTGGATTTTTGGTGAATAATAAATGCGATTTTATGAATTACTTAGCTTTTAAATGTTGGAATTATGAAGTTTAAATATTAAGGCAGAGCAAAACTTGTCTTTAAGCCTGGTTAATAATTTATGTTGCCTTTTGATTTACAATTTACTTTTTGCATCTTTTTTTACTTCTACTTAATATATATGTAAATTCTCCCTTAAAATACATGATTAGGATTTTTTATACCTAGCTGAAATCTGAATTGTTAAATGGAAATTAGGACAAGGATATTGGGCTAACAAAAAAATCCTTTTCTCTACGTGTCCTTTTGTTGTAAAATAGAACCGAACGACAAACTGTTTTGTTCAGCTGACAACCCAAAAGACAAAGTTTCGAACTTTTCTGTGTCCATCGACCCCTAATAAAATAAAACCGGGGTTTTTTGTTTTTTGAGTGCAACGAAAATCTCTTACCTCCGGATACTTCGCAGGACAGGACGATGTCATTGCCCTCGTTGAAGGACTCAACATTTCCGGCCTTTTCGTGCCTGTTTTGGCCATAGATTATCGGTCTATCCGGCGGAACGATGACGGTGAGGTTGATCTTTAGATTCCGGGTGGGTGAGTTGCGGAAGTCGACGCGACACCGATAGACGCCTTCGTCCTCGATCCGTATATTATCGATCTTCAGCTGGGCGGGATGGGTGGTGCTACTGAAGTGGGCGCGGGTGCCGAAGGCCGAGGGCGAGGACCACAGACGCGCCTGCCCAAACTGACGACCTCGAACGTCGAAGCTGTAATGAAAGGGATTTAAGATTACAATAAAGTCAGACTGTTTGAGGTACTAAACTAATTATTGATGTCATGGGAAACATGGTTTGCAATATGTAATTACCTAAAATCAGGCAAAATTCTATGTTCTTTTTCATCCATTTTTTAACTTTTCAGTTTAAGTTTTTCCCATAATGCATTTCAGTCATTAATCAAATCAAAAATTGTTTGCATAGTATCTAATTATACCCACGGGCTTTGCTTTGTTGACACCTTTTTTTTGCATAACATATTATGTGGCAGATTAGACATCTGTTATTTATGAATTGATTTAAATTAGCATTTTTGAATAGGATATAAGGAATTAGCAAATTTGAATCCCTCTAAAAATAATCTCTAATCCAAAATCTCAGCTTATAATCAAAATCAAAATGTGTACTTACTTGTAGATGGGTTCGCCATCGCCTTCTCGAAACCAAAGGACCATATAGACGGCATCGTCCCGCTCCTGCGGCGAAATATCGCAGGGCAGCATCGCCTGTCGTCCAAGGACACCTTGAACTGTGGTAAGTGGAACCGGTCGGTCCAGATTCTGCATGAGTTCATCCTGTTCTATATATGTGCCAAACACCTGGCTGATCCCAGACAGCATAAGCAGGGGAAGGAGTAACTGCCTCCAGGCATTCGAACTCGAACTGGGGCTGGAGTACAATGAATGGGGTGGAGTGGCCCTTCTCCGGCAGCAATGCTCCCGATCATCCAGGTCCTCCTTTTCAATCAGTCGGCAAACTACTTGGTATGTTTCCTCTTGATGCATGATTTTCGCTTTCTCTTTTAATCAAACTTATCGCTTGCTAAGACTTTTCCTTTGACCTTTTTCATAGCCATTGATAGATTATCGCATTTTCATCCATGATGCGGTATTTGTGGGCGAAACGGGCTGGATTGGCTTTCCTTTTTTAGCTGCACAATGCAATAATTCAAGTCATTAGTTATCACACTGACTATATAGAAATCAAGCGCTGATTTATTTTCAGCTTAAATTGAACTGAATATTAGAAGACTTGAAAGTGTGTGTGTAAAATAAAGAAATTTACCCTCTTCTTACTCAAATTCATCTCTATTTTAGGTTACTGTGACAGAAAACTCACTTTACTTTGCCTTTTAATTTAAAAAGAAATTCAAAATGAAATATCCAAATTTTAATATAAAAGGGTCCCATCAAGAAAATAGCCAACATTCTCAATTTAATTGTAAATTATTTTTGAAATTCGTATTCATGTCTTGCTTAAATAACACGCTGGTCACAATTTTATTTTTGGGCCAGCATCAAAAAAATATTTGGTAATGGAAATTATATTGTAAATTCCAGGCTGTCACTAATGAAACTAATAAACTGGCATCAGAACGAAACAGTAAAAATTTATAAAGATATGGAATAGAAATAAATTTAAATTTATTGTGCATGGAAAATATTTAAAATATTCCTTACTCAGCCAGTTGAAAACAAAATTAATATGCACCAAATTTTGGGCACTCCATTACGGCAAGAATTGTCTTTAAACTTTAAACAGAAACGAAATTTATGTGGCCTTTGTGAATAATTGGAGAAGGCATTATATTTGTGTGGCAGATAGCATTGAGGCTTATACCTTCAACTCCATTTACCTTCAATGGAAGTGAAATATTTCGAAATATTCCTGTGAGGGAAAGCAATTAAGATATGAATCGTAGCATTAATAAGCCCCAAATCGAACACTCAATTTGCAATGCACGTGTTTTACGATGCATTTGAAAAAGTTTATCACATGGAAAACTCTACAAGAATTGGTAAACTTTATTTGGTCAGCATCAAGGGCATAAATTTAAATAATTTTTGTTGTTAAACGTGTCCATTGTCTGCCCAAAAGCACAATTAATAACCGCTGTCAATTCCATTCATCTGGCCAATAAATCAAAAGACTTTAAACGAACAATGCGTTCTGAGATCAACACGTCCCACTCATTTTCGCGATTTTTTTTTTATGAAGTCTCTTTAGAAAGTCGGTTAAGTGTAACTAACGTTTTTATTGAGGTAATCATGGTACGGATGCTGGCCCCTAGAAGTATTCATAACTCATCGAAAGTCTGAGGTTCTTAGCTCATGGCCAGGTTGGAGAATTCATGACGCATTTGCGGTCGACTCACTCAATTTGCGGCGCTGTATGTCAACGTAATATCTTTAAAAATGTGAAGTCATTTGTTTGGCACATGGCTGACAAACTTGCCAAAAACCGAAAATCAAAACTGACAGGGCGAGAAAAGTAAAGTGAGCTCTCTGGGCGGATTTTGGCTAAGGAAAGTATGGCCCTGATTGACCAGTCAGTTGGACTTGGTCGTAAAAGATGATGATGACGATGGCTGGAATGCCAAAACAAGCCAGTCAAGCATATGGCCAAGATTCCCCACTCTATGTCATTCTACGGCTAAGATCGCCCTCTACGATAACAAAAGGGTTAAGAGTTATGGGTATTTCGGTAACAAATATCTGAGATTCCAGTCAAGTGGCATAGCTCATGCTCATATGTCCACTCAAAGTTATGGGCCTAATGCCCCTTTATGGCCATTTAATGTTATAACTTAATTAATTATTACGATATTCCATTTCCCCCGGGTCGAAAAAAAGAGCTGCTCATAAATATATTCCATACGCAATTTGCCTATGAATGTGATAGACAAACACTTGGCCCAGACTCGAGAGATCCAAGATGGTCTTAATAGGGATAGGGTATACAAAAGAAACAAATACCCTGAACAGAGGGTCTTATGACTTCTTAAAAAAAAACCTGAAACCATAAATATAATAAGAAGCATGGCAAATAATAAACAAAATTCAAATACAATCATATCAATCAAGTGGCCATTTAATTACATGTATCTTTTAAATCACCCAACTACCTTTATTTTGATGGATTTCCAAGGGTATCTTTTTGGGCCTGCCTTTGTGGCCCTTTTAGTTCTGCCATTGTTAGGCACTTTTGGTCAATTCCAACAAAATATTTTGAATGCTGACAAACTGACCCTACCAATAAGAACCGGTTATCCGAAACGAACTTGAATTCTTCGCTATTTAAAATTCATTAGCTTTTATCTGTTTTTATTGCCACATAGAATAAACAATGGATGCGTTGATTTATTAATTATTTATATCGTTTTTACTTTACAAATAATCAAATATTATTTCCAACTCGCACAAAAAGCTCTCGCAAAGGCAAACAAAGCGATTTTCCGATTGTTTGATCGAAGGTGTCGCATTCGAAGTTAACATGAATAAATAAAAAACAAAGCCAGCAAATCTGAAGAGACCCGAGTACATAAACAGGAATTTCGATTTACACCTGTAATTTCAATTTCCCGTCCGCCGGCTGCCACTTAAAATCGCTAAGCGGTTTCTAATGGCAGCAATTAAACCGTCAGCCCCCGCCAAATATATTACCCTTTCTCCAACCTCTGAGGAATGGCTCGGCCAACCCATCCACAGAAGTCGTAAACTTGATTTCCTATGCACTCAAATCTATGGCCCCATGGGCGCTTTGTTCGCACATCGAGGTGCGAATTTTTCAGCTCGAAAGCAGATCAAAGATATTTGCATATAGTATACCTGCACGAACTATAACTAGGGATGTCGTACGACTTTCTTGGGGGAAAATTGAGAACTGGAGAGTGGGGCTGGACGGCTTGGGACTCCACGGACTCATCGTCGGCATTAATAAGTATAAATAACTCTTTGATGGGCAGCCGGTTGTGAGTTGGCCGGCGACTTTGGTTTGTTTAGTCTGCTGGCCATTTGTACAAAACACCTATAGTTTCTACACGAAATATGACAAGAAATCAACCGAAACCGGTTTCGGCTTTCGGAGTAATGTGATTTTTGTGAGAAATAGCCAGAAAAAGCCCCTAACACTTGAAAAAATATGTGTCCTAGGGTAACTTTTCCTATAAACTATGTAAAATATTATAATATTTGCAAGAGAATAATTAGTACTGATCGTTAAATTGAAAGTTATTTTTTAATTAGATATTTATTTGTGGCTAACTAGCTTTAAGTATTACACAGGAAAAAAAGAAATTGTCTTTAAAAATGATCAACTTAAAAACTTTTCCTTTAATATTTATAATCTTAGTTTTGTTCTAAACTGAAATGTAGTATTAAAAAAGATATTTAACCAAAATAAAAACATAATTCATTGTCTTAAGAAGACTTATAAACTGGTTCCATTCTAATATTATGAACAATGTGCAATCAAACCCGTTCTTTAGAAATATTTTTTTAGTGAGTTTTTAAGATCCACTGACCTTTAGAAATTTTTAATAATAAACAATTTCCTAATATTTTTTGCAGTGCTTAGAAAAACTGAGGAAAAGACAGCGGCGTACGTAAACGCCATGCTTGAAATGCTAAAAGATGTTTGTGGGCCCCGTTTACTGGGCGATGTTGTCTCTGTTGCCGGTTGCTGTGGTGTTGCTAATTAAGATTACAGACATCGATACTTTTCGGAAAGCAGTGGCACGTACACATATAGCCAGCCCCTTGCTATATAGTATAAACCGATATGTGGGTATGTAAGTAAAAAAAACAAAACAGAAAATCCGAGATGGCCAGAAGGAAAAGCAAAGGTAGGTGGCAGAAGGCAGCTGATAGCTCCCCAAAGTGCTACATCAACGCTGTCAAGTGACAGCGATGAGGCTGGCTCCTGGCTTATTAATTATGTAGCTTAATTTGCGATTATGCAGATATGCATGAGCATAAATTTTAAGGGAAATAAGCAGCCAGATAACTCACCTGCTAATGTATGTGCATATATGCCAGCCGATTTCATTCAATATTCCATGTTGTTTTTATTGGACTGCTTTAGTTTGCTTCGCTTTGTTTGATTTCGATTTGGGTTTGGATTTAGATATGTTTTTGCTTTTCTTGTTTTCAGCCAGCTTCTGGCTAGTTTTTCTTCTATTTTGTTTTTGTTTTTGTTTTTGCTTTTTGCTTTTCGTTTCCTCTAATGAGCCACAGACACGCCGTCTGAATCTGCGATGAAACCGAAAGATAGATGATTTAAGTAACTCGAACCTCTTAACGAACTTGAAACTCGCACAGAACCGATTGCACTTCCTAATTGGCCAAGATTTACGTTTCGCACCTTCGGCTGCAATTTAGTTTTGATTTCGTTAAGCTCACACTAAGCCAACACTACCACTAACCACTACTACCACACCACCACCATCAACCATTGTGGCCAAGTGTGCAAATCAAGTGCCGCAGAGGATCTCTCGAATCTGCTCTCGTTTTGACAACTATTACCATAACAAATCAGAGCGCCTGCCACTGACAGGGCCAATTGAACCGCACAGGGAGCGACGACAAAAAAATATTTACACGGCACTATCGAGGAAGGGTCGGTTGGTTAAGGGGAAAACTGGAATGGTTAAGGGATAGGGATACTACGGGATGTCATTGGGAATGGGAATGGGAACTGAGTTTGAGCACGAGTCACCAAACAACGACGACTACGACGAGCCCGTGCCGCGGCTATATCCTTGCAGCCTTGTAGTCCGTATTCTTGCTTCTTCTTTTTTTTTTTTTGTATTTTTTTATGCCACAGTCGTAAATTCCAATTATCGACGAACTCGAGGCACGGCACCGCAAACCGAGCAGCCAGCCCTTCCTTCGAGTGGAGAGCCGCTGAAGTGGTGGCAACTGGAGCCCGGAGTGGAGCGATTTTCAAAGTCAGCCGCGGCAACGTTTTGTTGCTATTTTAGTCTGCCGGGATTTTTATAAGATTTTTTTTTCATTTTCTTTTTTGATTTAAATATGGTTTTTCCTACGGGCTAATCCTTGAGGTTTTCAAAGGCAAACAAGTTAGCCAAGTATTGTGGGGGTTTTAAAGTCAAATAATTTAAATTCTTTTTAGGCAATGCGGTTTTCAGGAAATGCTATTAAGGTTTTTACTATATTATAAGAAAATTCAATGGATGTTCTTCGGAATTTTTTTTATTGGAATTTTGTTAGTAATATAAATTCCTTTATTTTTGATAAATCCCCAAGGAAAATCAAATACTAAATTAGTTATAAAATGTCTTTAAAAGAAAGTCTTTAGGTGCCTGGTTGAAGAAGTTTACCCATAAAGTAAGTACTATTCTTTTTATTGTTATTATAGAATTTACCAAATTAAAAGACTTTATAGTATATTTTAGTCAGCAGCTAATAGAAGATTTACAAAAATTCAAATGCAAACGAATGGGCAATTTGGTAAGATAGTTTAAGTGTGTTTTTTACAATCGATTTGAATAACTTGAATAGTTTTTAGCACATGTTTAAGTCCACGTTTTCGCAGATATTTTAAGAGATTTCATTTTATTGTTACATTACAAGGCCTATTAGGTCTTTCGAGTGCTTAAAACCGGTAAGATAAACTCCGGGGATGCATTACCACTTTGCCATTTGTTGTTGGGCTTATAGTTGGATCCTTGAGGTTAGACACTTTTGCGATTGGTTATATGGTTATCATTAGGGATAATTTGCATTTATCACTTTTGATGGTTTTTGATGGTTTTGTGATGGTTTTTTATTAAGCACTTGGCCCCTAAATCCTGTATCCTGAGCCAAAACACCTCTTCTACGTTAACTCACACAGATAGACGGCACTTGGGCGCTTGTATTGGTGCGTACAAGGAGCCGACAACACTTGTGTGGGTGCGAATGCGCGTTGGTGTGTGCGTTGCGTTGTGTCTACGACGGTGTGTTTGTGTGTGTTTGTGAGTGTTGATGTGTGCGCGAGTATTTGTGCGAGGGAGCGCTTTAAATGGAAACCCTGAAGCGAACGGATTGGGCTACATTTCCACTTGGACCGCTCGCGTTTTCCGACAGCAACATGTGTACCGTTATAGCTTCGCGTATCTACTGGATACCCATCGTCGGCGTTCCACTCGACGATGCGTTTTCCTCGCGACGTTCGCTTTGATTTGATTTCGAATTTCGAAATTCGAAACAGTCGGCTAAAGAGAACATGTTTTCAAAGAGAGAAAGAGAGAGAGACAGGGCGAACGAAACTTGGCATACGATAAACGAATGCTTTAACTTAACAGCTATGTATATCGTATTTGTTGTAGTCTTTAAAAGTCCAGCAAAGCAAAAACTTGGTTTTGGATTGACAAATTTCCTCTTCTGGCTGCCCTTTTTCCACCGCCCCTCTGGGGAACTTTTTGCTTATTTATGCGTAAAGATTGCCCCTCAATCCGGCGATATTCGCTGCGATGGGCGATAAAAGTTGTCGCTGTAAAAGTAATTAGAGCTAGACACGATTACACCATGTTCCATATCGGCACAAGATACTCCCCACTTAACAGATGAATAATTGTTTTGGCAAATATCCACGAGGAGGTTTTGGGGGATTGGGTATTGGGATTTAGAAGGCAGTTAATGTTCATTTAGGCCAAAAGATGGGTTTTACTATTTATGAAAATTACTGTTAAGTTAACGTTCAGGGAAATATGGTTTTAGGTTTCCAGGGTTTTTGGATTAATAATAATAATAACAAGATTGTCATAGTAAAATTTTTAAAAATATTTGTTTAGATCAAAACAAAGATAATAAATTCTGGTTAAAACTTAAATTGCACATTCCTTAATTTAGTGTTCTTATAACAGAAATACTTTAAGGGAAAATTTCAAAAGATTTCCGCTGAAAAAGTTAAGAAGAGAAATTAAAAGTGCAATAAACCGATTTCCAAGATTTATCTTTATTGCTCCTTTTATAAATATTAGCCACCGTAAATGGATTATTTTTGTTTAAATTTAAATGGTACGCCTACATCCGCCACTGTTTAAGATCTTTTCCACCTAAGTATAAGATATATTCGTTTAGTAGGCAAATTAAAGCCAAAACAAATATTTTTACACACCGGGAATTGGGGTCCGTCGGAAATGGTCTTCGGGATGAATAATAATCCCCTAGACAGCCAATTGGAAATTAATTAAATCGAACAATATTTGCTCTGCCTGAATTATTCACTTATCAATCAATGTGTTTATTCTTTGACGAAACAAGTCCATAAGTCGGTGCGGCTTTTCAAGTGGATTTCCATAAACTCCCCCGAACACACATTTATATGTATAGAGATATTGGGCAGACATACTATATATTTGCGGCGAAACATTGCGCCTTAATTCAGATTCGGGCAGAGCAGATGTTATTCATCATGCGAGTGCGCCATTGTTGTTCTTTATCAAGTGATTGATGCGCAATATCCACACAATTTGATATGGAAAGGAAGTTGTAAAGAAGGGGCCGACCAATTTGCGCCTGGCCAAAAACCAAAAAGCCAAGGAAAATTCCCCGCCGGGTGCAGTCACCTGGGAATCGAACTCCATTGGGTGCCCATGCCCGTGCCCGTATCCATGCCCCTGTCCAGAATCGTATCTCCCCACACACACACACAAACACAATACCATGGAATCTGCGTCGGGTCGGTGCCGTGCTGGGCATTAAATCGTTAAAGTAACATATACAAATTAATGCAAACAAATACACGAGTGCTGCATGAAATGCATTCGAGAGTCCCAGCAATTTCTATCCAATGACCCGGGAGTATTATTCGATGGTGGTGCTCCAGATCTTGTCAATAGTTACGACTTTCCGATGTGCCATGGAATGCTAAACAGATCAAAAGCCTGGCACGTGAATGCGCCACGCCGCATCCCCACACACATATAAACTGACTCCTGAAAACTCCCGAACTCCCGAAAAACCTGGACTGACAGCCAAGAGGTGTGAGAATTCTCAAGTGAGATGGCAGTGAACTCAGACCCACAGAACAAACACCGCCCACTCCCAAGGCTCCCACTTCCAATACACTGGGGAAAAATGACTTTTATAATTAGAAAAAGAACAAATTGTTTTGGGAAATTAACCACCAGAAAAGCGATCTTTATTATTAGTCCTAATTTATCAATATTTTAAAATAGAATCTCCGCATATGTAAATGGTTTTTGAGATATGAAATACATGAAAGTTGTTAAAAAGTTGATTCATTGTCTTCTTTAAGTTTATAGCTAGTATCCGTGGGAAGCTATAATAAAATCGACTATCCTTTTATTATATATTTTAAAACTTTATTACTCTTTTGACAAACTTTATTTGATCGTTAAGTTCTTTAATGTACAGAATTGCAGAAGTGTCAGGGCATTTAAGCTCTCATAAACCTTTCAGAATTATTTTCCTTAAAATTTCAAATTATTTTTCTAGTTTGAAGTTTTTCCCGAAGTGCACAAATAGCAATCTGCTGCCATAGCCGCAGTCACATTCTCCACAACCCACCGACTTGGCTTTTATTTTGGACTTAACACCAGGGATTTGTGGCTATTTTTGGCACCGACTGAGATACTGAAAAACTGAGAGAGCTGGCCCATAAAATAGGTGTGGTCATATCGTCAATAAATATTCTTTGACTGTTTCTGTTCAATAAAAAGAAGAGCAACGAGCAAATTAAGAAGAAATACACGGAATGTTTAGAATTGAACGGAGTTATGCGGGATGCAATGTAAAAATAGCGAGATGTATCTGCGCCACGTAAACAAACCGCCGCGAAAGATACATCTGTGTGTGGCTAATGGATCGCGTGCTAGAAAGTATAGAATATAATAGATGTTTGTATGGAATGGAACAACTGCAGGCGATACTCCGGGGGCGATTCCTTGGAAACTCGAGTCCATTGTGTATTGTTGTTAGCGTAGAGCGGTGAGCGGTGAGCGGTGAGCATTCCCATTTCCATTCGCATTTGCATTTGCCGGGCATTCGTCATGGGTCTCATCAGCATCAGATACTTTTGGGGATATCTATGCAAAACTGGCGAACTCTAGAAACTGGAGAACTCTTGGAACTAGAGGACCGGGGGGCAGAAAGCCGCTCAGCTACTTCGGCTTAAGCGTTTAAAATCCCATTTCCACATGCCTTACATGTGTTTTTCCCCCACAGCTTCAAACATTTATTATACCAATCGCTGGAGGAATGGAGCAGAGCGGAGCGGAGAGTCTACGACTTTGTCTTTCGGGCTAATTTACATACGAGCATGCCAAATGTTGGCTTGTTTTTCGGCGTGTTTGCGCGTTTGTTTTTGCTGACTAACGAATTGCTTGTCGAAGGCAGCAATTAATGGCAGCAGCATCGCAACGATGACTTAATGACAACTTCCTAATAAAAGCCACAAGAATTTAATCAATTTATTAGGCTCTTACAACTCAGATACATGCGATTATTTGGCCATTAAAATTAGCATATCAATGGGGAACACTGGCTTACAAAAGTTGATTTCTTTCGGTGGGAGGACAACCAATCCATCCATAAACATGCCACCAATTAGCATGGAAATCACACGTTCGAATGAGTTATGGAATCGATGGAAATGCATATTGAATGAGTTCTTCAGCTCGAGTTGACCTTGTATCTTTTCGGTTTTTTACTTTTTTAAGTGTATCTGCATCTCGGACAGTCGAAACGGCAACGTTGCCGTGCTGCGGCTCATTAGCGTTTATGGGGAATAGGAACCGCTTTCGTCCCGAGATGAGAATCCCTCTGAAATCTATACATCGCATCGATTTATCGCTCTGAAAACACAGACATACACGAAGCCCCGGGCTCCATGGCCAAATACGTGCTTAACTGTAACATTTCAATTTGCAATTTTCGACCCGCTGTCTGTCTATCCGCCGGTAAATCCGTCTCTCAACTCGGCCCCTGACCCCATCCCAGCCCGTCCAGGTTCTGTCCTGGTTTGTTTGGTATAGTAGGTAGGTATGTCCGCTACGCACTTGCCACGCCCTGCATGCTAAAATGTTTTTCAAACATGCAAAGATCACTGCCACAAACATAAACGCTCCTCTAGTCACATAAATACCGGAGTACACTGAGAAAACTATTGAGAAAATAAGATTAAGTAGCTAGTTATTGAAAAGATAGGAGAAAAGGGTATTGTCAATTAACAATTTATCAAAGGTTCTTAACATTACACATAATATCGTTTCGCGGTAATAACTACCTTAAACTTAATTAATAACTTTTTCTCCCAGTGCATCACGCAAGCTTCGAGTTAAAGCCGACTGGCCGCCACAGAAACCGAACCCTTTGACATTGTTTTGGTTTTTGTTCAGCGCTCGACCCGTGCGATATATAATCAGAATTCGTAGGCACGCATTATTGAATGGGTTCTGGGTTCCCCTACCCCCTCTCCACCCCTTTCCCCACCCTCAACAAACAGGAGGGGAGAAGAAAAAAAAAGAATAACGCCGATGTCGTGCCATATATGGGATTCGGAATGGGAATGAGTGCCAGTATCCGAGTATCTGAGTATACGAGTATCCGAGTATCGTATCCGTATCCATGCGCCGCCACAGATAAGATACTTTATTGACATTGCGTGTCTAAACACTTTACCGCTACGTTAGTTATTGTTCTTGTCGTTTCTGATTGCGATTGTGCGCTTTAAGCTTATTTGCATACTCATATTTCTTCATTCGGCGGTCTGTGCTAGGCGTCTGTGTGCGTGTTCCTCAGTCGCTCACGAGCATGTGTATCTATTAGATAGATTTCGGAATGGTTTTAATCAGAAGAAACACACTATTTATTAGAAATTGATTTGGGCATGTGACACGAAAGTGGATTTATTCGTCCGATTGCACACAGGTTAGATTAGAGTTCTTTGAGTTCGAAAAAGGGGAGAGTTTCAATGGAAAACTTCTAAATTAAGTTAGAGGAAAACAGGTAACTTGGGTGTTTGGTGTAGATTTTGGCTGACTGATATTTAATTAAGATTTATACATAAGTATGGCATTGGTTAAATATTATATAAAATGTTAGGAATTGTATTTACTTATCTGTCAGATTTTTGTTTACAA